CTTTCTATTCCCGGACTAGGTGTGTTCCTCTAAGTCTTCCTACCAATACGACCAAGTTGCGAAAACAAGATAAAACAACCTCTAAACATCGAAAGGAAACTGCGACCACACAAAAAACCACGCCATCTTGTTCTTCATACCTTTAATTAACCTTGTTTTTGATCAAGCTTTTCCAACATTACGTCTGTGAGCAATTGACATCTAACGAGGATGGGCAAATATTTATTGCTGGATCATAATGCTCTTTGTGCCATTATTGTGTTAATAATCAATTTAATGCTCTATTTTGTCATTCTTGAGTTAGATATTCGATGGGATAGGCGAGCATGCTTTGGAGATCACGAGTCTGTGCGGTAACCTCACTTCGTTATTATCAGCCCAGTTGCCGGTTATCCGTTCTTCAGGGTATCAATTATCACTGGAACTCATGTCATTACACCACGATGATATGGTTGGATCCGGATTTCTAATTACTTATGGCTCAGATGAATTGGCGGGTGAGTTTTTTTTTGAGGACAATCCATATTTTACTAATTAAAACTAGACATTGCTGTCTTGTGAGTATAGCAGACTGATTAGCTGAACTTCCCTCAGAATGGAGGCTTTCATTTCTGGCTCGACAAAAATCATTCTTTACTGCCATCGACCCAGAACATCCTTATTAATGATATTTTAGCAAACATAAATTTATTGAGTGATCTGACCTCATTTTTGCAACTTGGTCGAGTTGCCAAAAGTGACCTAGTTTGAGGCAACTTTTCCGAAGTCCCCTGCTGTTATAGTTATGATAATACCAGGTCCACGGCCCAACACTGGGAATCATTGTCACTAAAACAACAGAGGGCTTCATATATTGTGCGCCCAAGTAGGTCGCCTTAAGAGCACGACCAAGTAGCAGAAACGAGGCCAAACCACTTCCTTACGTCAAAAGAGGACTGCGGCGAAAATAGAGGCTACAAAATCTTGGTCTTCATAGCTACGTATAAGTTTTGCAAATTTGAATAAAATTAAAAGTAATTAAAATATAACCTTTTCTATGCATATAGAAAAGACGGGTATAAGTTCCATTTCTCATTTATCTTGTTTAAGTAAATAGTTACCTCGAGTCGGTGAGATTTTTGCGAACCAGAGGCTGTCACAAAAAGACCTTAGATTTATCACGAGCCTAAACAATCTAACAATTATATGCTTTTTCGCTTCTCACACATCATTCCTTCTTATTATAGACATTTCACTCTACCAAATGCATAATGCTTCACATCAAAAATATTCTCACAAAATATACCGCCAAGTAAAAAGTATAGCTCTAACCCAAGAAACTTTTCACATTTTGTATTTCTGGCGAAAAAGTCTTTTATTTTTAAAAATTGAGGTGAGTAAAATCAAGGGACTGGTACATATAGAGTAAAATGATCCTAAAGCAAATATGCCAGTTTTAGAATTCTACACCACAAAGCACAACGACTAACTCAGTGATCCCATTAATTGTGAGGTAATTCTCTTCCATCTTCTGATGGGACCAATATGCAAATTACTTACGCAAAAATTTCATATGACATCAAAGTTTCATTAAGGATTATTCGAGGCCAAGGTTTTTCAACATACATCCTTATTACTGTATCCCTAAATCCCAAAAAATCAATATTTCTTGATTGTTTCTACAATGATGACAAGGCCATATTTGCACTTTAAATAATTCCGAGTTGATGCTAAGCTGTATTCCTACAAAAATTATGGCTCTTCTGAAGTATTTTGGTGGGCTGTTTTGGTGTTGCCTACAACAGGACTGGTGAATTACACTCCCGGCAACAATGCACATTTCAATAGAGTAAATGGCAGTTGACTTCAGCTTCCTGTGGTGCTGGATAAACTCCAACAATTTTTGAAATAACAAATAAAGCGAAACCTAAATTGTAATTACTCTCTCCTTTATTCTTTTTTTCCATCTGATTCTTGTTGAAACTAGTAATTTTTCTATTGTTTTATTCGGTTTTCGCTTAATTTCATGGTTTCAGTTTGCGGTGGAGACTTGGAAATACCCCTGACTGGCCAGTGGGCCGATAAAAGCTATTCTAATCTAGGAGACAGAGGTGGTCAACCAGGTTCCGGGATTGCCCTGCCCGACGGCCTCCTTTTGCGCGGCATTGTCTGCAATTGGCGGTTACGCCTAAAAGTGAATACCTCGGCAAATGGAATTGGCGGTACATCACAATATACTGGAAACACGGGCACAATCCAACTTGCTCTCACTGCAGTAGGAATCAAGAATTTAGCTAATTGTACTTACGCCTATATCCGCGCAACTGCTACTAAACATTTAGGTAAGACGCACGGGTTTTTAACTCAAAAGCAGATTAATAAACTTATTTCTTCGCATTTTATTCATTGTATGGACTTGAAGTTGAATGTATGTGGAGTAGCATGTGATGACTAGTATTTGTAATTAGTAGGATTGAAAAAGTATCAGTAGCTCTTTCTATTGTAATATCAAATACATGTTTGCTTCAGCGTCACTTAATTGATGAAGGTGTGACATGGGAAAGGGGCCTAATTTTTGTTTAAATTCAAATTTGTCCTGCGACCCCTGGCATCTGCAGAATTGTGGCATCAAAATTGTGAGCTGCACTACTCGAGTTCGACTCCCGGTATGTGTGTTGGTGCTACTCGGGTTGAAACTGCAATCTCTCCTGGATAAGAATGCCTTTTGGTAAAGAAGGCTAAGTGAACTTACATGGCATACTAATCTCAGTGTAGGAAAATTCAATCTCAGTCCTTTATCACCCTTAGTGACCTAAGGTGAATAAAACGAATATTTCTTTTCAAGGCTATTCTCATTAGAACTGCAGACTAGAATGACAAAAAAAACGATTTAGAATAACCTAATGCAGAGAAAGGAACTAGGCACTATAGCAGTGGAAGAAGCGCCAGGTATGTTCTTCAAAGTCAGAAGGTTATTAATACCAAGGTGATAAATTCAAGTGATTTGGTTCGTATGAATAGAGATTGAATGCATGCGCGGCCCCTCGTTTAGGCAATCTGAGCAAAGTAGTATGTAAATTAAAGAATGAGTTTAGGCCACACGAGTTGTTAGAGGGAGACAAAAGTAAGGACTAAGGGATAAGAAACCTGCAGGAACTTGACGGAATAGAGTGCCATGCTCATTCATCAGATCACTGGTCATAAGAAATTACATCGTTTGTCACTTTAAGGACTGCAGTTAGGTCCTAAGGTTGACTCTGCCTATTGACGATGCCGAGTACGAGGCAGAAAAACACTTGAAAATGTACTTAGTCCCATGTCCGAGGCTGGAAGAAAGAATGCAGACAATGGCTTCGAAATCAATACGAAAATACAGCCAAGTTACCAAATGGATTAAAACCACTTTTTAGGGATTTTTAGTCTTAGGCAAATTGAGTCCACACAAAGACATGCATTCTGCTTCCTGTTAGATCGTTTCCGGTTTCAATGGTAACGTGAGTTACAGCTTGCAGGCTTCCACCTAGTCGAAAGATAGATGGATTTGCTTGCGACCTAGTTGGTTGTTTATTAGTAAGTTCTATGCATATGGGCTGAAATTCGCTACCTTCATTCAGGCAGTAGCCTCAGATAAGTTAATTAGAAAATTAAAGCATATTAAATGACACAAAGATGGATTTTGGCGTTCATTTTGTCGTGTACGCACAAGTATAAAAGGTTTGCTAGCGCATAGAGTATTATTGCTACGCTCAGAAGGAGATACGGATTTACTCACGGACCAACGAAAAATGAAACGCAGAATGAATTGATAATAAATTTTGAATTTCTTTGAAAGTAGTAGGCCATCTATCCCAAAATGGTGAATTGTAGCTAAGACCCTGACTCGGTTTCATCAGCATACAATTTTGACCCGAAGCGTAAATGTGCAGACGAAGCACAAAAAGTATCAACCTATCTGGCTTAGAAGCAGATGCACCTTGTTGTCTATCACTACAAATGTTCTTGCAAAAAATGTCAGTTGCAAAACACTTGCTTTTCCTTGAAATCTCTGGTCTTCGTTTAACTCAAGATGCCTTAAGCGTAACATGCTACCAGCTAAATCAGCAATTTCAGGGTTCGAAACCCTTCCGAGAGGCTGATATGACAAAGGCGGGTTCGAAATTACGGTTTATCCTGCATGAAAATAACTTTTTTGGATGCAGTA